TGGACGGGTCCAGAGTCTTCCCTGCAGAGTGGACGGGTCCAGAGTCTTCCCTGCAGATTGGACGGGTCCACAGTCTGTATTGTAAAGATCAAAAGTAGCAACAAGATGGAGTGGCAGTCTTTGGTCTCCTAACTGGGCTGCAGGTGAACAAATGTTTCCTACACCTGGACTGAATGTTGGTTCTGATTCCTCCACTGTCAAATGTGGAGTTTCGTGCAGATTTATTTTATTTTATTTTTATTTTATTGTAAATTTATTCATTTCATATAAAAAAATGACAATTTTTAGAAAGAAAAAAAATTAAACAAAAAAACATAAAATGAAAGGAAGCAGAAGAAGAAAACATTTCTTATTATATCTGCTCCCTATTAAACAATCAAATTCAAACAATCAATTCAAACATTAATTTGCTTATTGTAATACAAAAGAATAGTCTCATCAAAATACCTTTATAATTTGTTAAATTAGAAACAACTAAATATAATTCTTTAACAAAATAGTTTTAACCATTTTCCTAAATGTTAGTATCGACTTCGCTTTTTTTACATTGTCCTCCAAACCATTCCAAAGATCAATTCCTCTTATAGATCTACCCTTTAAACTTGTTCTGTACTTGGGTTTAACAAACATTTCTATTCCCTTTAAATTATAACTACTGGTCCTTTTCACAAAATAGTTCTGAATGTTTGATGGTAATGAGTAATTCTGAGCTCTAAACATAAGTAAAAGAATATTATAATCAACCAAATCATAAAACTTAAGTAATTTCAATTGACAAAATAGAGTACCAGAAGGATGACAGTAATTTTTCCTCATTATAATTCTTACAGCTTTTTTTTTGCAAAATAAAAATAGGCTTAGTTGTTGTCTTACATGCTGTACCCCAAACATTTACACAATAAATTAAATGCGGAACTATAATTGTATTATAGAGCAAGTACAAAGCCTTAGTATTTAACAAGTCCCTTACACGATACAATACTGCAATTGACTTAGATATTTTAATTTTAACAAAATTTACATGCTGTTTCCATGACAGTTTGTCATCGATAATTACACCCAGAAAATATCCTGATGCATGCTCAATAATCCAGGTAGAAAAATCTAAAAAAGTTAAATCTGGTCCTCTGGACATTCAAAAAAAAGGATGGCCCAGCACAGAAGATCAACATCATCAGGCCAGGACTCTGCGGTCTACACTCATCTCCAGGCCAGCGGTCACTCTTTCAGGGATGAAGATGTTCACATCCTGGACAGAGAGGAACGATGGTTTGAGAGAGGAGTAAAGGAGGCCATCTTTGTGAAAAGAAATCGTCCATCGTTAAACAGGGGTGGAGGCCTCCGGGTTCAACTGTCCCCCTCTTACAATGCTGTGATTGCTAGTATCATTCAGCCGTCTGTGAACAGTAAACAGCCATCAGTGTGCTAATGATCCATTGTTAGGCTGATGGTCCTTCTTGAGTATGTGATCAGCTGGTTTTGGTTGTCAGCAGCAAAACTGGTTGATCCACTCTGAGACGGTGCTATTTAAGAGACTGAGCTGAATACAGCTCCCCAGACTGAGGAAGTCTCTCGGATGAGAGACGAAACGTTTCTACATTTTTTTGTTGACTTGCTTTGTTTTGTTTTTTTGAATGTCCAGAGGACCAGATTTAACTTTTTTAGATACACCCAGAAACTTGATCTCATTCACTCTACATATCTTTATACCATCAATTTCAAAAGAAAAATCCAAAGTTTTTTTTTTTTTTTACTAAATATCATAAAATTGGTTTTATCAATATTCAATGACAACTTATTTAATTTAAACCAAATTTGTATTTTTTCAAACTCTGTCTTTATCAATACAAACATCCGTTCCAAGTCTTCACCCAAACAAAAAAAAAGTGGTATCATCAGCAAATAAAATACATTTGAGGGTATCAGACACCTCAACTAAATCATTAACATATAAAATAAATAACTTGGGTCCAATTACAGAACCTTGTCAGAGTCAGAGTTTCTTTATTGTCATTCGCACCTCATGTGGTACATGTGGTGGAGCGAAATTATGTACACGGGGTCCCAGTTACATCCAACAATAAAATGTATAAGAAAAACAGTAATAACATCTAAGATATGAACTAAGAAAAACATAAACTAAATATACACTAAGCACTCATAACATAAAACATTGAACATCAGCACAAACATGAACATGAGTCTGTGAGCAGATGTGCACACATGAACACATCAACATTGAAACAGATCAGCAGCAACATGATATGGTTTTTCACAGTGATTATTCTAGTTAGAGATTCATGAGTCTAACAGCCTCAGGCTAGAAGCTGATCCTCAGTCTAGTGGTTCTACACTTAATGCTCCTTAACCTCCTTCCTGAGGGGAGTGGGGCAAAAAGTGTGTGTGCTGGGTGAGTGGGGTCCTTCATGATGCAGGTGGCCCTCTTCCTGCATCTGGAGGTGTAGATGTCTGTGATGGTGGGGAGGCTGATTCCGACAGATTTCTGTGCAGCCTTCACCACTCTCTGCAAAGCTTTTCTTTCTGCAGCTGTGCAGCCTCCATGCCACACATTGATGCTCGAGCACAGGATGCTCTCCACTGCACACCTGTAGAAGGAGGTGAGGACTGAGCTTCCCAGACCAGCTCGCCTCAGCCGTCTGAGGAAGTAGAGTCTCTGATGAGCTTTCTTGATCAGGCTGGTGGTGTTGTTGCTCCAGCTGAGGTTGTCATTCATGTGTACACCCAAGTACTTGTAGCTGGAGACCACTTCCACCGCAGATCCTCTTATGTTCAGGGGGGTGTAGGTGTTTTTGTTCCTTCTGAAGTCCACAACCTCTCCTCCTCCACCATAACCCTCAGCACTGGCTCTCCTCAGGGATGTGTGTTGAGCCCCCTCCTGTTTACTCTGCTCACATATGATTGTGCAGCTACCCATCCAGGCTGTCACATTGTAAAGTTTGCAGATGATACAGCGGTGGTGGGATGCATCACAAACAATGATGAGTCCAGCTACAGGCAAGAGGTGGAACACCTGGAGAGCTGGTGCAGAGAGAATAACCTTCACATCAATGTGAAGAAGACAAAGGAGATGATTGTGGATCCTCACTAACTGTGGTCTGTTTGTTAAAAAGTCTAGTACCCAGTTGCAGATGGAGGGGCTTAGTCCTAGTGTGGATAGTTTGTCCATCAGGGTTTGGGGGATCATGGTGTTGAAGGCGGATGTGAATGTGAATTGTGGTACTCCACATGAAGTTCTGCTTAAATTAGAACGTACATCATCCATCTGTACAAACTGTTTTCTATCACTCAGATAACTACTTATCCACTGCAATGCAATGATTTAGGGGCCGTTTACACGTCACGTATTTTGAGTGCATCCCCAGGTCTCTCTCTGTGGTTCTGCTGATCATTTACACGACACCAGTGGCCCCCCTCTTTGAATCCGGAGGTTTTTCAACCCACCTTCCAGAGTGGAAATTTTTCGCTGACCCCCCCGCTGATAATGTAAACATCTCCCGTTGAGGCTTTGTGTTAAACCACATGCGCACACGCACGCGCGGACAGACGCTATATTTCTATCAACGTGGCGACGGACACACTGCTTTCAGAACTACGACTGATGGAATATATTTTTAATCTCGTAGTTAATCTACATCAGATTCCAGGTGCTGTGACTGACATCTGTGCTGGAAGAGACACAGTCAGATCCAGTTCTAATATCACTGTTTATAGAACGTGGCACGCACATGTCGCGCTGCACTATAACATACTAAATGTGCTAAATAATAACAGTTTAATAATAATAAACAGTATTTATGTTAGTGTGAGAGATAATGAAGCTCTGAGCTAAATGAAGCTATCTGGACATTATGTAATTTAAATTTAAAATGATGTTAAACATATAGCGTGAACACTAAAGTTGAAAATGAAGACATCGGGTTTAATTGTTATTTATTTATTCAACACCACAAACTGTATGTCACACAAACACTAATAATTAAA